CGGCGAAGCCTGCCGAACTAAAAAATTATACACCAATATGATGCTCTCATGCTTAAGTCAGAACTATATTTATGGGGAGCGCAACCAGTTTTTTTGTAGCATTACTTTGATGGGTCAATAGGACAGAGTTCCTTGGGAACTCAAATTTAGCTTTAGACGATCCTATGATCTAAGAAGTCTCCCAACTCGGAGGCGTCTACGGGCCAATTTTATTCAGACCTGAGCCTGGTTGGCCTAAAACGATGAGCGACCTTGTTGGCCATTCAAATGGCTTAATTTTACCCGTAACAATTTCTAAATTTTCAAACATTTTCTAAATTTTATTACTAAGATATGTCAATCTGCAAGATTCAAACTCAATTCTTCAGTTGGGTTCCAGTTATAGATATGTCTACTTGTAAATGTGTGAGCATTTTGAGCAGCCTGCTTTATAAAGAACTTTTGTCTTGACTGCAAAGGTTTTTAGTTTGAGATAGTATTGTTAATTTTCTACTTTCTAGACATACATCATACCTAGATTTGGGGACAATTTTATATCATCATTAATTGTTTTTAGTTTAACTTTTGAAATGTCTATATCGTCCCGATGATAATTTGATGTCATAATGTACTAATTCTTTTTGAACCATCAAAGTACTGGTTTGGTTTTATACCTACTCATTAGTTCATCTTGAAATCCCTTCTAATATATGGAGGATATGTTGAGTTTTAATTATCATCATTTGCTTTTAGAATCCTGCGGCAGAATTTTTAAAGTTTATTCCTCTGTTTTATCATTACCATGTGTGTAATACAATAAGTACAAGTTGTCTAACCTCTTTATTCATCCCGATGGGACTAAGAGATTTAGCTTTGGTTTAGAATTTGGCAGCGCTAAGAAAAATAGTAGCAAAATGAGTTTCAATGGAATTTCTTGATGAATTACTAAATCCCGAAAGGTTCTTTTAAACATACACAGAAAGAATTTCAATGGCATTTTTCCATCTAAGGTAAAATGCTTCAATCAACAGAATCTTACAAGGCATTATTCCTTCTAAGGATTATGCTCAACGGTCAAATAAAATTAAGCAAAGAATAAGGCTAATTACACAAGGAACTGGGCTGTAACAAATAAGGTATCACGTTGCACTATAATTGCAGCAATAATTAAGGAAGATTCTGATTTAGAGAGAGATGATTACTATCACCTCTTAGTTGGCTATTTCATTGCTGATTTCATGGCTGATTTTGTTATTTAACAGCTGGGGTCTAGTTGGCTGCTTTGGATGTTAATAAGGTGGCGTCATTGTGGCTGCTTTGGGTGTTGACGAGATGGTGCCGTTGTTGTGTTCTTTATCATCGTTTCTCAAACTTATGGTAGTGGTTGAACCAACGCCAAGTTTGCCTAGTAATTCCTTGAACACGGCCTTGTAAGTGACTTGGTCAGAATGTCTGCGAGTTGTTTTCTGGAGGGAACATATTTAGTGATGAGGAGTCCAAGTGCCACCTTTTCACGGACAAAATGATAATCCAACTCTATGTGTTTTATCCTAGCATGAAAAACTGGATTAATGGACATATAGGGAGCACTCATATTGTCACAGTATAATTGTGGAGTTTTTAGTAAGGGAATTCCAAATCCATGTGAGTTCAGCTGTTGTGCTGGCCATGACGTGATATTCAGTCTCTGAACTTGATCAAGCAATAGTAGGTTGCTTCTTGGATGACCACGAGATGCAGTTTGCTCTAAAGAATATGCAAAATCCTGTCGTGCTACGACGAGTCAGAGGACATCCGCCCCGATCTGCATCACAAAAAACCATATAAATTAGTGGAGCTATGTTTATAAAGAGTGATTCCATGATCCATTGTTCCTTGGACGTAGCGTATGATTCTTTTCACAGCCTTGAAGTCTTTAGTCATTGGATTTTGGAGTTGTTGACACACTCGATTTACTGAGTGCACGATGTTAGGTCGAGTGAGGGTCAAATACTATAAATATCCTACAATGCTTCGATATAGCTTCGCATCAGTAGGTTGATTATCATTTGGTGAAGCTTGAGTGGATGTGGCTATTGGTGTGCTCACGGAGGATGCTTCTAGCATTTTAGTCTTCTTTAGGAGCCTGTTTTAACCCAAGCTCTTGGAGATGGACAGAGAGAGATTTTTGAAAGTAGTCAATCTCTTAGAGCCTGTTTTAACCCATAAAGAGATTTTTGAAGCTTACACACATGAGATGGACAGAGAGGATGGATAAAACTTGGAGGTTGTTTCATGAATACTTGTTCCTTCAAATGAGCATAAGGCATTTTTTGTTAAGGATCCCACCTTGAAAAGAGAGGGAATCTAACATAGGTTTATAATAGATATGAGCTACTCTTCTCATTGCCAATTGATTTTGAGATGGAACCTCATGAATATTAATATGGTATCAGAGCCCAAAACGCTCAAACGAGCAACCGGTCCAAAAATGGGATCCGGCCAAGATCGAATAATAGACAGGGACCTAACATAAGTTTATAATAGACATGAGCTCTCCTCTCATTGCCAATTGGTTTTGATATAGAACCCCATGAATATTAATATTTTTGACGTCTAATTGGCGAAGAGTCCAATTTGTGCTAGTGGCTAAGGATAAAATTAATCTGATTGTCCTGGGCTTAATCACCGGATTGTATGTTTCTTCATATTCCAACCCTTCGACCTGACTATATCCTTGGGCCACTAAGCGAGCTTTGTAGCGTTCAACTGTCCCATCTTCCTTGCACTTAGTTTTAAATCCATTTGGGACCAACAATATTTATGCCTTGTGGTTTAGGTACAAGACTCCAAGTTTGATTCAATTTCAGTGCTTGCATTTCTTCTTCCATAGCCTGCTTCCAATGGGGAGATGCTATAGCAGCCTTGTAATTCTTAGGTTCTGAATGTAGTGTTTCAGCAATATATGAGTGATTCTTGGCAACCTTCAGGTGATGAGCTTTTCCTTGGATAGGACTGGATCAAGTTGAGGATTTTTAGCCAGTTCCCTCTTGTGACCATGTTGTGAGTGCTGTTATCTTGTGAGTGAGTTGGTGGATCTGTAGGTGTGTGAGTATTTTCTGCATCAGAGAAGGGAAGTTCAATGTAAATACTATTGCTGATATCAGGGAGAGACTCACAATTTATTAAGTTAGAGCAAGGCGGAGTAGTATTTAGAGTTGAAGAAAGCAAATCTGTATCAGTTTCTGAGTTGGTCAGTGTAGGATCTGCTTCTTGAGTAGTAGAGAAGTCCAAGCTGGTGGTGGCTGCTGTCTCTGACGGCACATTGTGTGGTTCAATTTGCAATGCTTCTAAGGGAGGTGTATTAACTCCAGCATCAGTAACACCTAATTCATTCTCGTTGTCTGACCATTTTGTGCCTTCTGAGTAAGAGTTTGCAGCCTGGTCGAAAGCCATTGTATATGCCCACACATTGATTGACTCTTGTTCTATTGGTATGAATGCCAAGAATGTCCTTGCTAAGTGATCCTTCTTCCTTGTCTAGAGTGCCTGCAAAATCAGTGATAACAAGGGAGGTGTTTTTCTTGCTACAACTATCAGTATCTCGTTTCTCAAAAGGGAAGACTTCTTCATCAAAGACTACATGTCGAGAAATATAAACCCGATTATTAGAAGAATCTAGGCACCTATATCCTTTATGAACCATGCTATAGCAAACAAAAATACAAGGATAAGTCATTTTTGAGAATTTATTAGTATTAGAATTGCTTATTTAGATAAGGAAAACATCGACATCCAAAAATCCTAATGTTACCATAGGTGGGTTCTTTCCCAAAAAGTTTTTTGGAAGGGTGATCAGTTAATGTTTAAGGTCTTTGTAGGCATCCTATTTATGAGATAAACACTATTCAAGAAAGCATCGACCCAATATCTTAGGCATATGAGCTTGAAAAATGAAAGAGAGGCAAGTTTCAACAATATGTCTGTGTTTTCTTTCTACGAACTCCATTTTGCTGTGGAGTGTATGGACAAGAAAATTGATGATGTATTCCATGTTTTCTAAAATTGTCTTGAAGACTATAGATTGAAATTCACCACCACCATCACTGTGAAAAACTTTGATCTTTCTTTCAAGTTGGTTTTCAACTAAAAGTTGGAATTTTGTAAAGCAGGTAAGAAACTCAGATTTCTTTCGCAAAGGATAAAGCCACACATGCCTAGAGTAATCATCTATAAAACTAACATAGTCGTATTTGAACTTTTGACAAGAAGAGATAGGAGCGGGTCCCCGAAGATCACAATAAATTTTATCCAATGATTTTGAGCACACATTCTCGTTAATCTTAAAGGGGATTTTACAATAACTTTTTCCTAATTGACAAGAAGAGCAAACTTGTTGTTTCGTTTTCCAATTTGAGACATTGATGAGTTGTTTATTGGAGAGAATTTTCAAGAAGTTGTCATTCAGGTGTGCTAGTCTTCTATGGCATACAACATGAGAAGCTGTCTTTAATGAAATAGCAGTAGATGCAACAAAAACAGCAGGTTCAACAAAGGCTCCCGTTTCAATTTTCGGCTGCAGTGTTTGCAGTTCATATAGTCCCTTCTTTTCACAACCTTCAGTTAGTACTTGTCCCTGAGAATCCTTAATAGCAAATTTATTAGCAAAGAAAGATATGGAACAACCATTATCTTTAGTAAGCTTTCTAATGGACAATAGATTTTTCTTTCATTTCTGGCACAACAAAAACATTTTTAAGAGTAATATGACCTTTATGAGTTGTGAGCATTGTATTTCCAGTGTGGGTGATATTTAATCCTTGACCATTTCCAACATACAGATTGTTAGATCCTCTATGGGATCTTCAGGATTGAATTGTACCTGGGTCATTGAGTATGTGGGAGGTTGCACCCGAATCAGCATATATGTTTGTATCTTCTGTTGGGTTTGTAAGGTGATTACAAACAAAGTCCCACGTTGGTTAGGGAAATGAATGATTATGGGTATATAAGAGAAGACAATTATCTCCATTGGTATGAGGCCTTTTGGATGAAACCAAAAGCAAAGCGATGACGAAGGTAAGAGAAATTCGTTCTGTACAGCAACGTTAACATACAGCTGAAGAACGGCGGACAATATCATACCATTGTGGAGATAAGGTGGGGTACTTGGGTACCGTTGTCCTTAACATCTCCCACTTCATTCAATGTAAGTGCAGCTAGAGGATACAATGGCTTTATCTGTTGGACAACAAATTTTGCACACTGCTATCCGTCCTTCGCAGTATCTGTTGGAGTTCTATTTCGGGAAAATCCTGCTGCTGCAGCCGTGGTATTCACACCGTAATCTATTTGCATGCCTCGGAGCTGTGCTTTACTCATGGAGCAGTAAACAAAAAAGTTGACCATTAAAATTGAGTCACATTATTGATTATTCAAACAGATAACCAGTTTGTGCTTTTCTTCCCATCTTGTCTTTTGATCTGAAAGCCAGTTTTTGAAAACTAACAAAGAGAAACGAAATGATTCCCGAAAAATTTTAGAACCCATATGGTTGGGTATGAATCATTCTTAGTATCTAGAATACATCTGGTTGAGAATGAAATGGGAAACAACGAAAGTGGTTATCTGGGAAACATCGAAGTGGTTATCTAAGCAGTTTGGACTGGGACATGTGACAACATAAAGATGAGATGACGTTGACAGAATAACATGTCATTTTCATAAAAATTATGACATAGCCACGATAGACATGCTTGTTGAAATATATGCTTTACAGGCATCCTTTTAGGGGTTGTAAAAGCTCCCAGAAGATTTTTTCCCTCTCTCTCTTGTTGTAGTAGTAATCTTTGGAAGCCTTTGAACATTTTAGTAATAAATGAAATTTTTTTTCTTATAACAATAATTGAAGTTTGTTCTCTAATCCTATACCAAACAATATCTTGTTTTGTTTTGTGGTAAACGGGAAAGAATCTTTTGATCATAGTTTCTATAGATTCATGAGACAAAAAATGATAAACCAATGAAATAGATTATGAGCTTTTAGAACAGTGATCAATCATCATATTTTCTTGGAAATTTTAAAGATCAAGGAAGATTCATGCTTTCTTTTATTCAAAATGATAAACCACCGAGCTGATTTGATTTTCTTTGACATGCTTGTTTTTTTTTTCAAGGCTTCTGATATCTTTATGAGGCTTTTGCTGGCATAACGTATGTTCTTTTTCAGGTGGATCGGAGTTTGTTGGAGGTCTTACGTGTTGGGAACACTCGCATATTTACTGCAACTGCTGGTGAACGTTCTTATAAATTTTTGCTTAAAATATAATTTTGTTTCTTAAAGTTTATCCATATTTCTTATTTGGTCCTGAGTCCAAAAGTTCTATATTAGTACGTACCTCAAGTTTGAATGAGTTTCAAATTCATTCCTCAATGTTAAAATCTAAATAAAGATCGAATTAATAACCAAAGTAACAAGATTTGTTTTGTTATTGATTAACACTTACATATAATTATAGTTTATTGTTGTACGACGGATTTTCATTTTAAACAAGAAAGTCACGTGGCTTAGAGTAATGCGGTCTGCGAGACCCGAATTGAAGAACTGGACACCCAGCTCAGGCGATGGCGGAGATAAGCTCGGCTGAGTAGAAACAAGCACGGGCGCGAGCTCGGTAAAGTACGTAAACCGGTCCGAAATGGACAGGGAGTCAACCAACGTGTGCACCACTTCCAATATCTAGGTTGAGAAATTCAGGATACGGAGGTTAAGAGAATTCCAAGGGAGGACGGTTAGTGAGGACCGCCACTATAAGAACCTAGAAGAAAAAACAGTAAAGGGCACAAAGGAAAAAAGACTTTTTCTTACTATTACTGACAAAATCCTTTAGGTGCTAACTCCTTCCCTAAACCATTAACAACATTTTGTTTATTTGAATTTAAATTGGCCTCCCAAAATAAATTCAATATTAGGAATTGACCTCTCGAATTCTCCAATCTCCGTCATAGGAAATTTTTAGAAAATATTAAAATAGGATTTAGAAAAATAATTAATTTTTTGACTTTTAGAAATTTCATGAGTGCTTTTAAAAATGTCAACTTTTTAGGTAGAATTGCCTTTATAATTTTTTTTTCATTTAAATGTTTTTTTTACAACAAAAATTTTCTTATAAAAGAAGATTTACAAAATGGAAAAATATTTTATTTTTTAAAGAAAATATATTTAATATGACTTTTTTTAAGGAAAAAATGCAAACAATTTTGTATTAGTATTTCAACTATTTTTCCAAACCAAACCGAGGATAAATGAGAAAACAACTAAAAATACATCATTTAAGCATATTAAAAATCAAATCTTGGCCTCCCGAGATATTGATCAAGAAGATCGGCCACCCAACATTTTGAGGTTCCATAGTTGGGAAATTTCCTTTTGAAAATCTAAGTTAAAAAACTTTGATAAAATTAAAAAATCTCCACTGAATGGTATCGCGATGAAAATTACATAATATATACATATTCGTCAATTATTATATGCATATTCTAAAAAAACATGTTTAAAAAAATTGGATCAATCAAATGTGATGTTACAAGGAACAATAATATAAAACTAGCAAGAGAGATAAATGAATAAAAAGAAGAACAAAAACAGAAGAAATTAAGCAAAGAAAAAGTAGTCTAAATGTGGAAGAAACAATGACAAAAAGAGATATGCCTACTATGAAAAAAGATTTTGGGAGAGAAATTGTAGGTTTTTTTGGTGATGTGTTTTTCGTGTCGTCCCCTCTACCAAAACAAACACCATCAAATCTTATGATTTTAGGTAAAAATTCTAAATCAAATTGAAATGTTTTCCAAACGGCTAAAATTTTATTTTGAGAAAACATGGAAATTTACATTTAATCGAAAATCTTTTTGATTTTGTTACTTTTTTTTATTTTATTTAAAAAGATTTGATTTTGAAAAGGAAATTAATATTGAAATCAAATATTTATTTATTTCTTTCTTTCTGATAAAAACACACAAAAGAGAAAATATTGACCATAAAATAAAAACAAAAATTTTATAGGAAAACTACTACAAATGAAATAAAAAAAATCATGCAATGGAATACAGACAAATTTAAGGGTCTACCAACATATTTTAGAAAAGTTAAACAAATCATTAGTATTCATTCAACTATTTTGTAGTTCTCTTTAGAGATATATTAGTTTTTTTAGTTCAACGATTTTAGAAGTAAAGATTGAACTACCAACCTTCGGAATCATATTAATTAGATGTCTTTTTCCTTGGTTATGCTCGAATAAACCCTTAGAATTATATTAATTAGGTTCTCCGTTAAACTAGTAAAAGGTTTTTCCTATAAAAAAATTAATAATTAAAATCAACCCTAAAAGGGAGAGAGAAACTTTCTACGATCTAGATCTAACTCCATCATCAAATCTATTGTCCTCTCATCAATTTATACAATTTTCATGATAATTAAGAGATACATATTAATCTTAATATAGCTCAATTAGTTAAGATATATATGTGTTGTTGAAAGAAGACGACGAAGATCAGAGAATAACAGGTTATTTTTTATACAACACAACTAGTTGCGAGTTGGTATGAAAAAGGTTCTACTCTTACTTAATTATAAACCAAAATACAAGTAGTCTGTGAGTTCCATTTTTTACCATTCTCAAACTGATCCCTTGGTTCGAATGACAACACCTTTGAGGAACATCCCCTTCTTCCATTGCCCTCCTTCATATTCATACATGCTAAACTCGATCTCGCCACCGTTGTCATGATCTTGTACCGTGAAATCGCCTATCGGGATCTCGACCCACCGCCCTCGTGGCTTCTCCTCCATGTCTTCTTTGCGCTCTTGCTTGCTCCCATCTGGCCTCTTGAGCCTTATGTTCACTGGAACATCCCATCCGTAGGCTGGATCTTTGATCATCACCACAAATGCTGCCTCGTACCATGCTCCTGGTGAGAGCTCAGATGCCTTGATCTTCCCATGGATTTCAAGCCAACACACGTTTACAAGCTCTATGGCTTCAATTGGGTTACTACAAGAAAATAATTTTGATTTTCGTTTTTTAGTTCAGCGATGGGAGATTGAATCATAGACCTTTTGGATGATCTTAAAATGTCTTATCTATTCGAGCTATGTTCGGACGAATTTAACTGAAAAGTTAAAGAGTGTCATACCTTGACTCTTCCATGGCTTTCCATTTCCAGTACTTGCTCTCTTCAGACCAAGTTATTGAGAGAGCTCTTGGAAATAACATGAAACAGTTACTGTTTGACTTCTTATCCATCCAATATTTCTGCAATTGTATTCAAAACAATGAAGAAAGTGTGAAGTTGTGTGTATTGAAATCTCTCTTATTCGTTTACTCAATTATATAAAAACTAATTAACAGCTCTTAGATGTAGCACAAGATTTTCTTTCCTCTCTCTATCTCTAAATCCGATAGTACTTCGTTGAAATGACAACTTATAATATATTTAACTGATTAAGGCATTAATAACATTTCTCAAAAGGGTATAGGTTTAAACTTTGATCTCACCCTACATAATGTACAGTTCTAAAAAAAGCACATGCATGATATTTATATATATGGTATTAGGTTTATTTTCTTTGGTTAAATTATAAACTGGTTATTGAATTCTTTCAAAATTATATCTATTTAGTCCCTCCACTTTAAAAATTTTCAAATAAGGACTTTTGCATTTAAAATATTGTTGAATAGTTCACTATTATGTCGTAACATTATCATTAATTTTATCAATGATCTAATAATATTTTTATACAGGCTGACTTTATAATTTAAAGATTACGTGGTAGACTGATATTAAACTGGTTCAGCCATTTGATAATGTAATCATTAGACTAAACAAAATTACAAAATTGAAAGTAAACATCTATGACATTATTTTCGGAAGTTGAGAAAACTTATAATTTTAAACTCTTTAAAGTTTATATATCTATGATAATTTTATTTACCTTTGTTCTTTTGTTCAAGAAGATTCCAGCATGGAGTTGATCATGAAGCTTATCCATGGAGGATCTGTCCACTGCGGAGTCTGCATCTTTCAGAATAGCTTCCAACCCATGACCCAGTTGCTTCACTTCTGCCACCTTTGCTCCGCCGTGGCTGGCGGCGCTGCCAGTGGCTGGCGGTGGCGGCTGCGACTGTGCAGCCTGCTCTTCTGACCACCCAGAGCCCATTTTTTTTTCTCTTTTTCTATCACACAGTCCGATCAAAAAAGGGTTGGAGTTTCAGCTCTGACTTTATAGGGATTAATCAAATTTTTAAAAAAAATATATTATTTCATTTCATTCTCGAAATTGAAATGGTGATATATGAACGTTCATGGAATCTATTCTCTTTTGTTTGTTTATACAAGATATTTGGGGAGAAGGGCT